GGGGGGCACCAATAGTATTAAATTTGTACAAAATGACATCTCCAAATGTTTTCGAAAACCTATAGCAGGTTAATCATTACGTTTTCGTTTTCAGATCACAATACAGTTTCTGAACTTCTCGCGAGTTTACAGAGGGGGCGAGTGGACGGCATTCTGGTGGAACGCTACGTGGCCGGCGCACATTACAACAAATACAAGGGTTTAGGCATGGAATTAGGAACACTGGTCATGTTTCCTTACAACTTGGGAATGCAGGCACCGAGTTTTATCACTGGACGTAGCGACGCAACCTGTGCCATATTTAAGAAGTGTATACTGGATATTCTCGACGAGGGGCAGCTGGCTACGGTAGGTTATTGACCGATTGATCCAAGCCAGGATTTTGATGGAAATGGTGGGAAAATTTAGGAAAGGTGCAGCGGTAGAATAATAGTATAACTGATTATCTCAGGGTTCGTAGTCTCCAAGACCAAAAAAATTCAAAGACTTTCAAAGATTTTTGCTGCCTATTTTCAAAGACTTTTCAAAGACCTTTGAGAGCAATCAGCTGTCGAAAAATTTTTACCCAATAATTAGTCCCGTCAAATCACATCCTAAAATGCGCCTTTTCGTCGATATTTGCGAAAATCTTGCTTCAATCAATTTTATTAGCTAGGAAATCGTATAATCAAATACTCACTAAAGACTTTCTTCACTTTTTCACACAATTCAAAGACTTTTCAAAGACCTTAAAGACCTGCATTCAAATTTAAAGACTTTCAAGGATTTCAAAGACCGCTACGAACCCTGTTATCTATACTGGTCAACGTTTATTCATAAATCTGGTCCTTCACGGTCACGTGTGTATTGTATCCTTGCCCAACTAACCAATAGCAATGTTTTAGGAAAGTCACCTATCCGTGACTCGAACAATAGGGAAACTGGAAATTGCTATTGGTGGATTTGGTAAAAATACAATACACACGTGACGGTGAAAGGACCAGATTGATGAATAAACGTTGACTAACATAGAGGAGTTATATTGTTATTCTAATGAGTTTCACAGCCATCTTCCCTTCGATAGGCTATGGTCTAGCTCACGGCCAAGAGGGGGGAAGGGCGGGGCACTTTGTCCCGGGCCCCCAGCTCAAACAAGGGCCCCAAAGCAACAAAGGCCCATAAAATATCTTGACACAAGAACACTGCCTCTTATAGTGGGGCAGTGTTATTTAACTCTATCCCAAACTACTTAAAATAAGATATCCAAACCAACTTCACTGAAAACATTTTAAAAATCACTCACGCTACTTTATCTTGAACAAAATAATTAAGCTCTACACCTATAGAAGACTTTGCGTGTAAAACTTGTCGATATAAATTTACCTGCAACTGTATTTGTAACTTTAAATAATGTTAATTACCTAAGATTTAATCTATACCTTTTCCATATATTACATGTAAAAGATATAGATTTGCAATATTGTATAGGTGTACATTTATTTTAACTTAACTAATGAAGGCCATGTGAAAGAATACTATATTTGTGAAGATGTTTTACCTTCCCTCAATAAAGTATGAAATGAAAGAATATACATCCCAGCTGCTTTAGTGCCGGATAATATGCAATAAAGTGAATACATTGCAAAACAGTAAGACATAAAACTAGAATCAGCATTCACAAACAGCTAGACATGAATCTATAATCTGTCTACATTGAACAACCACCATTGACCCCAAAGTCAGTACGCGCAAGTTAATGTTATCATTGTAGCACTAACATCCATAATGGTAATTTTTATTCATTTTAGAAAGTCCTCTTCGACTTATCCGATGCATGGCAAGATTTTGAAACGTCCGAATCAACATCATTGTTTGAAGACGAGTCATTCTTTTATATTCTCATTGCATTTTTCTTTGTCCTTCTTGGTGTGGGCGGCCTGTGGCATTACTTTGTGTATTTACCCAGACAAAGACAGACAATAGCTAATAATGGTAAGCTTCGTTATTCGACCATTCCAGGTGTCGAAATTTACGCTATTCCATGTGACAGGAAGGATAATTTGCATATCAAAAACTGTTAAAAGGCAATTAATTTTTTTTCGATGTTTGTTTTCTACCTCTAAAAATTGCTTTGTTTTAGCTTAGTTTATACAGTTAGCCACCTTCTTAAATGTATTTACTGGTTGAGAAACATAAAATAATAGTAAAAAATTGTCAATTAAAATACAATTAACAAGGATGCTTTAATAGTGACGCCGTATTTACAGCAATATAAGCAAAGAACTTCAGACATCATTTTCTCTTTGACGTATCATCTAAAATCTTTTCATTTTAGCATTATTTTATACAGATATTAAAAGCGCACTAAGCCACTTTTTGCCGATTGAGAAGTCTATCAAAAAATAAAAATTTCAAATGTAGTCATAAGTGATTAGTTTTGAGCGCGTGTCACGTAAACACACAAAAAATCTCCTCTTATAAATATCTCAAAACTTTCGTTGCTTTTTATTTTCCTAGAATCTGAGGTCACCTCGGCAGAGACTGGTGAAAAGTATATATTCCACAAAACGGAACTCGAGCTGCTATGTCCAGAATGTCGACCAAAAATGGATTCCATTCTGGAGCAGAATCCAGATCGCGAGCATCACGCTGGTCTTTTATCACTTCCCTTTGTACATGGGGCACCGAACCTTAAACTGCTGTCTGCAAATGCGTTTGATCAACTGAAACGTATGCCGTCTAATGCTGTTGAAGTTCTGCCCGGGGCGGTCACTGGTCGTCGAAAGTCGGGACGAGTGCAATGAGCAGTTATTGCTCGGATTTTGTAAAACGGCAATGCGCACTCGGGCCAGTGAACTCTATATATCTGGAGTGCGGACTCACGTCCAAAGATGGCGGGGATTGACGTCTAGTGCCATTCCCTTTTTACTGTTTTTTTTTCTCAGCGCGGTTAACACAAGACTGCTGATTACATGGAGAGTTTCGCGTTTAAGTGGCTTTATTTCTGTCTGTTCTATTTTGAAATGCAACAACAGTCTCGCAGAATTCAAATAATAGACATGAACAACATTTTTAATTCTTCGAAGAAGCGGAATAGCTCCATTTTGAGACTTGATCGTTTCAGGTCGGGCTCAGATTTCACCCCGATTTGAACTGAAAGTCTAACTCGTTTGCCGTGTAATCGTGAAACAATTTCAGCTCGGTATAACCGGGTTGAAATTCAACCCAGGCTGAAAACAATCCGTGTAATCAGCCCCTTAAAGACTAAACTTATGATTTAACAGGGGACAATGGTACTAAACCAATTGGCGACCTTGATATAGATTTTGGACATCTATAAGCAATTCCAGCTTTTAGTTTATGCGTGCAGGGGGTGATGGGAAGTAAGGTATCATATTGCTGATTATGCTGGAAAAAATAAAAATGGTGGCCGTGTAAACACGGAGTGATAGCTTGTACTTGTAAATATTGAAATATTTCGGTTCTTTCGGCAGTTTTTATTGAAATTTTTCAGCATATTCAGCAATATGATACCTTACTTCCCATCACCTCCAGTACGCGTAAACTAAAACCTGGAATTGCCCATTGCGCCATCATGGCTGCTTCACTTTTCTCATAGGCCGAACAATTGCAGTTCTTGCCCCAGATATATATAGCTCACTGACTCTGATCTGTTTACTAGTGCACGAAAAAGACCTTCATCACGCTTTTGGAGTCTATTTAAAATTGGATATTAGCGTCCCACGGTATAAATGCCAGAAATTAAAAGAGCCGGTCAAGAGCTAGCCTGTACATACAGACTGTGTTATGGATAATAGGCTAGTCAAGCAACACAGGCTAGTCATGAGCAGTTCTGTTTGAAAATTATGTTTGGTAATATTGGAAAATGTTAGCTCAGGTTCGACTTTATTCAAAATTCTCCTCTAGAATCTTTCAACATTGTTGGTGGAACAATGAGAACCATCGAACTTTATAGTGAAACAAAGAAACGCTTTTATATTCTTAATCACATTTATAATACAGTATAAGAGCTTAGTTGAAAATGAAAAAGTAGAAGCTTTACGGGAGAATAGCACTAGAAACATAAAGGCGCTTGTCTATACGCCTGTGAAGCAACTTGTATCACAAAAGATACAAATCACTAGTTTTGTTTGAACCCGTTGACACAAACTCCTCAACCCCGTGGTACCTTGACAGCTGACGAGAGATCAAAACATACAGTTAGAAATAATAGTTAGTAAAACGCGTACTCAGTATAACGCCCAGTTGAATTTAACAGCACATAATACCATGCCAAAAAAATTTGGAACCAAGTGAAAATTTGTGTGGACAAATTTTCAAAGAGACAAAGAGTACGCATTCAATATATTATCTCCACTTGCATGAGTCAAAGCCACTCGTTAAAGCTCACTTTAAAAATCCTCGCCCCAAGAGTTTTGTGATATGGACATTGCAATACCTATGAAAACTCCTTACGATGGTACTTTTCTGGCTCAAAGTAGGAAACGACCACCACGCGATTTGAAAACTTACGTCCAGTGAGAGCTTGATGGGCGACCTTGCTTTCGCTTGCCGATGAGAACTCCACAAATATCTGAAAGAAAATATTTCTGTCAGAGTAGTTTGTTATATATTAGACTTTGTAAGTCTAACCGTAAAACTAGTAAATTTGTACGGTAAACCTTTTATAGTAAACTTGTATCGCTCTTAGTTTGCGAAATATTAAAAGACTAAACTAACTCTATTTACTCGATTAGTTTTGAACTAAGTTCTTTGTATGTTTGCATGGCGATAAAACATATAATAGTTTTGTTTGTGGAAACACCACGTAAATTTATTACTGCAGTAATAAATTTACGTGCATGGTGTTTCCACAAACAAAACTATTATAGTTTTAAACTGTTCTCCAGAGGTGTTTCAAGTCTTAGGACCACGGGACCATTGGTCCCAGAAAATGTTTTGAGTTCCCAGAAAATATTTCCCCAAGAAAGAAAAAAAGATAATTGTAATAATGTAGATAAAAGGAGAAATTCAGAGGAAAAGTTCTAACTAATAGAAAGACTGTTACCTTTAACACAGAATAGATACCGGACCAGAAGGGACACTCCTATGTGTTTTGGCTGAAGGAAAACGTCCGAAACTTTTTTCGTGCTATGACGCTATCCTGGAGTTCACACGGAACTTTGTACCTATGTTTTCCTATGAAAAACTTCCGTGTGCACTCCAGGATGGCGTCATATGATGGCGTATTTTCACGTCAGCACTCGTAAAATTTCGGACAAAATATCGTCTGAGTGACACTTCTGGTTCTGTAT